AAGTCAGGCAGCTACTTCAACCAGCTGACCCTTCTATTACCTCAGCCAAACAGATCGTGTCCTCTTGTCTTATGGAGTCACAATGTGCCTTTTCACATAGTTCATCGCTTCAGTTGGGTTATCAAACTTGTGCTCAGTACCTTCATACATGATTCGAAAGCCAGTTAGACCTCTCAGTCCATATTTCACATTCGATCTGGACTTCAGCACTCGTTTCATGTCGTAATACGCTGCCCTCTTTTTGGCGATCTCAGGGGGGAAATCAGGGAAAATATGGACAGATCTGTCTTTAAATTTGAGCTGTTTGGATTGAATGGCCATCCGCAGAATGTCTTCCTTGACGTCAAATCGGTGAAAGCATATGACAAATGCCCGCAGTCTCTGACCCTCCGCGGGTCGTGCTGCCAACATACGATGGGCTCGGGCAAGAAGCGGGGTGCATGGAGGCTGAATATTTCTTGCAGTGCTTCTGAGATAAATTGTCGGCTGTGTACCTTCCAAACCCTCGGGAATACCCGCAAGACGCAAATTGCTTCGACGGGAGTGGCATTCCAAATCTGTGCACTTAGCCTGAAGAGCAGTAATCTTGTTCCCTAAGGAGGTCACGGTGGGCTCAAGTGCCTGCAGACTAGTCGTCCACTCTGACGTAGCATTTTCCAGACTAGTTAGTTTATCCTCGTGCGCTTTCACTTCTGAAGTTACCGCCGTTAGTGAATTATGTACTTCTTCTCTCAGGGATGATATATCTTTCCGAAATTCCGCTGCATGTGCGTCAAACTTTTGGTAAATTCCAGCTTCCAAAGACTTAATCGCTGACATTATTGTAGCACCCTCCATTATGCTAGTTTCATCTTTTGCTAACTCTGCAGATCCGTTAGAGCTCGCCAAATCAGTCTTTTTCTGTCGCGGAGCTTTTGACATTGAGGCGCAAAGCTCAGAAATATCGCACAAAACAATTTAACAGCTGTGATGAGTAAGTTAAGTGGGTTATAACTTATATAGAAAGTAAATATAGCAATTAGTTTGCAGAGTTTCCGATCCTACGACCTCACATGTCAGACGTTAAACCGGAAGTCCATTTGATTGTAGTTTAAGTAAGAAATAATTTCAGTGCTCTGGTCAACCACTATAGAGTGAAAACTGGTGAATGCAGTTTACATGTTTCATAGAAAGAGAATGATGTGAGCACGTGTGATTGACAGTGAGTCGTGTGTGCGGACCAAATAGCTCAATACGAGAGGCAACGAGAAACGCAAAGACATGTGAAATAAAATCCCATCATAATGTTTTAAAGAAGAGTGGTTTGATTAAAGTGGTGGAAATAAAGGTTGATGGACACAGAACGGTATCAATTACACACCCACCCGCGTGCAAATTCAAAATATATCATTAGTTTAAATAGATGTTTTTGAGTGTGGGGTGTTTCAGGGATGGTTAGATTACTATAAAAGAGTTCACATATTCACTTTTCTTGATAAATATTTAGCTATTAGATCTATTTAAATGCTTCAGTTTGTTTTCATATTATAAAAATATAATATGTAAACAAATTGAAGCATTTAAACTGATATATTATATCACTTCAAATACTTTAATTCGGTTTTTTATATTATATTACATTAGGCCTATATTTATTATAAGCCTAAATAAAGAATCTCACAAGGGTATTGTTTAGGTTATATTAGGCCTATATTTTGTTATATTATAAGCTTAAATAAAGAATCTCACAAGGGTATTGTTGTGATTTGCGTGGAAACAAAGGCTGAAGTCGGATCTAAATGCAGCAGTCGACTTTAATTATATTCAGAACAGACAAGATACTCGTGGTACGCACATTAAAACATACATTCAATAACTGACCATGAACAAAAGAGCAGACAGGATTAAATACACAGACAGGATGAGGGAACAAGACACAGCTGGGGCAAATCAGAACACAGGTGAATAAACTGAACACTAACAAGGAGCGGGAAAACTGGGAACAGGACTGAACCAAAAACACAATGACGGGGAAAACTCAGGGAAACAGATACAGAACAGACATAACTATAACATTATCCCCCCCTTCCATAAGGCGTGTCCCCGCGCCGAATAAACATCAAATAGGGGCGGGAGGGTGGGCGCCCTGGAGGCTGACGAGGGCGTGGCTTGCCCGGAACAGGAAGCCTCCAGGGCGGAGCAGGACGTGACGGCGGCCAGGGTGGAGCAGGATGAGGCGAAGCAGGACGAGGCGAAGGCCAGGGTGGAGCATGGCGTGGCAAAGGCCAGGGTGGAGCATGGCGTGGCAAAGGCCAGGGTGGAGCATGGCGTGGCAAAGGCCAGGGTGGAGCATGGCGTGGCAAAGGCCAGAGCGGAGCACGATGAGATGGTGGCCAGGTCGGAGCAGACTCAGACGAGGATGAGGACCATGTCGACGTCGTCTCCATGGCCCTCACGGAGTACCTTCTGCCCCCCCCAAAAAAATACTTGGGGAAATCCTCGAGAGGAACCTCCAGGTGGTAAATGGGTTCCGGGCAGGCCTCCCGGAGCTTGAAGGGCGCAGGCAGGACGAGGCGCAGAGGCGGGGCCGGCAGGGCGAGGCGCAGAGGCGGAGGGCGAGGCGCAGAGGCGGGGCCGGCAGGGCGAGGCGCAGAGGCGGGGCCGGCAGGGCGAGGAGTCTGGGAACACCCTCCGTAGCCTGGCGAAGCAAACGAGTCCTCCTCCTTCTGCGACGACGCTTCACTGGGCTTGATTCACTACTGGACGTACTTGACTCGGTAGACTCACTTGACTCGGTAGACTCACTTGACTCGGTAGACTCACTTGACTCGGTAGACTCGGTAGACTCACTTGACTCAGTAGACTCGGTAGACTCGGTAGACTCACTTGACTCACTTGACTCAGTAGACTCGGTAAACTCACTTGACTCAGTAGACTCGGCAGACTCACTTGACTCAGTAGACTCACTTGACTCGGTAGACTCGGTAAACTCACTTGACTCGGAACTTGATTCACTTGACTCGGAACTTGATTCACTTGACCCGGCGGCACTTGACTCACTTGACTCGGCGGTGCTTGACTCACTTGACTCGGCGGCACTTGACTCGCTTGACTCGGCGGCAATTGACTCGCTTGACTCGGGAAGCGCGGTCTCACCTGACTCGGCGGCACTTGACTCACTTGACTCGGGTTCGTCGAGGCTGAAGCGACGTGCGGGTTCGGAAGACAGAAGCTCAGCCTCAGGCATGTCGATTTTGGCAGGAAGAAGCTCAGGCATGTCGGTCTCGGCAGGAAGAAGCTCAGGCATGTCGTGGAAAGCGGGCTCGACTCGGTTCACGTGAAGCGCAGGCTTGTGGAGCGTGTCTCGGCTGAGCAGCTGAAGTGAAGCGCGGGCGCGACCGGGCTGACGTTAAGCGCAGGCTCTCGCAGCTTCTCCTCCACGCCCACAGTAAACGGGGAACCGCTCCACAACAGGGCCAGGTCAACGTACCATTCTAAAGATCCGTGAGGACCAGGTTCGGGCATCAGAGACCGGAGTGGTTCCGATAATCCTCCGCGGAAGAAGATCTTCAGGCCGTGGGTGTTCATTTGCGCGAGATATGCCAGCTCGAGGAATTCTGCGACATAATCCTCGATGGCGCGATTCTCCTGGCGAAGACGGAGGATCTGGACATCAGGACTCCAGGTAGGCATGGCTGCTAGATCCTAGTGGGTCAGTTATTCTGTTGTGATTTGCGTGGAAACAAAGGCTGAAGTCGGATCTAAATGCAGCAGTCGACTTTAATTATATTCAGAACAGACAAGATACTCGTGGTAAGCACATTAAAACATACATTCAATAACTGACCATGAACAAAAGAGCAGACAGGATTAAATACACAGACGGGATGAGGGAACAAGACACAGCTGGGGCAAATCAGAACACAGGTGAATAAACTGAACACTAACAAGGAGCGGGAAAACTGGGAACAGGACTGAACCAAAAACACAATGACGGGGAAAACTCAGGGAAACAGATACAGAACAGACATAACTATAACAGGTATTGTTTAGGGCTCATTGCCATTAAAAAGTTTGAAACCCCCTGCTAAAGAAAATATTGGAAATTCATAAGGAATAAATAATCATTTAACTTTGATGGTTTAATGCTTCCTGTACACAATTAATTGACTGTACAAAAACACTTTATGGTTTTCCCAAACCATCTCAGTGTAACACCTTACTTTTATTTCATACTATATTCTATTATTGTAAAGAATTGACCTGTCCTGCAGAAGATTTTGTAAATTATATTTCATAGTATTTCTTGGTAAAGACTGTACAGTTAACAGCACTGTAAAAAAAATATCAGGTAACCTAAAATGTGCTTCATTTAGTGACTTCTTAATTAACTGCTTGTTTTTCGAAATTATGATTTAATACCAATAAGTTACATGAAGGGTCAAATAAAATAGAAATGGCACATTCAAGTTAAAAGTTACAACTGAATGTTGAAACCATTTTGTTTCTACGTATGCTGTACAGGTCAGTTATAAAGAATATTTTTGCTCAGGTGGCGAAAAATGTCTGGCCAATAGAAAAAAGTTTTGCTCAGCAAGAAAAAAAAAATTAGAGGGAACATTGGTGGAGTCCACAACCCGCTACCTTAACAGGCTTCTGCAGGAACTGAAGGGGGATAGGGGGAGAGATATGATGGGGGTTCCTTTGCTGGACACAGTGAGGATAGAGCACATCTGGCGCGTTCAGATCCAGGATCCGCCAGGTGTGTTTCTCTACACTGTGACGGGCACCACCACCACCACCAAGGGAGGATTAGTTCTCACGAAGTACAGATGTGCTAGGGGCTCAACCTCCCTTGAATCTTTCCACTGCCACTTAAACAGGTTCATTCCAGGTTTGTGGCAGATTGTCTTTGCAGTATAGTACATATTCAACACAATAGAACATGTAATATCACTTTATATTTTCTGAAGGAACTCATTATCCCAGTTTAATAATTTTCATTGTTCACTTCTTTACAGGAACCAGTGCTAACATACTGAATTTTCAGTTGTATCTCCTGGAAGGCCTGAACAGGTGGAACCAAGACCGGGCAGTAGCATCAATTTCCATAAAATCCTCCCCTCTTCTCACCTACGCAGGGCAGGTGGTGCAAAGCATCAACACCAACAGCATAAATGTTTTTGGAGAGAAGCTTGTGCCCACGTTCCAACCTCCTGCACAGTACACCGGTAAGACTCTCACAGTACATTTTACAGCACATGGTTCTTTGCTAATGGGCTATATGTTTAACACACTGCATTTTGTCTTTTAGGGGAGCTAATTGGAGTGGACTATCTACTTAGTCAGACAGGGCAGCCACTTCAGTCAATGGATGCTGACAATGAGCAGACAGACCAGCTGCTGGAGGAAGTAAATGTTAGATGAGCAGGATGAAGGGTTTGAGGAGGACATCAATGAGGATCCTACACTGAGTTTCCTTGAAGATGAAGCTAACTATAACCCACCTACAATTCAGCCTGTTCATCCCTCATCCCAGTCTGCTGCTCCCTCATCCCAGTCTGCTGCTCCCTCATCACAGTCTGCTGCTGCCTCATCACAGTCTGCTGCTGCCTCATCCTTGTCTGCTGCTCCTTCATCCCAGTCTGCTGCTGCCTCATCCCAGTCTGCTGCTCCCTCATCCCTGTTTGCTGCTGCCTCATCACTGTCTGCTGCTCCTTTATCCCAGTCTGCTGCTGCTTCATCCCAGTCTGCCTTCTCCCAGTCTGCTGCTTCCTCATCCCTGTTTGCTGGTGCCTCATCACTGTATGCTGCTCCTTTATCCGAGTCTGCCTTCTCCCAGTCTGCTGCTCCCTCATCCCTGTTTGCTGCTGCCTCATCACTGACTGCTGCTCCTTTATCCCAGTCTGATCCTGCCTCAACCCAGTCTGCCTTCTCCCAGTCTGCTGCTCCCTCATCCCTGTTTGCTGCTACCTCATCCGAGTCTGCCTTCTCCCAGCCAGCGGCTGCCGCCTTCTCCTCTTAGCCAACTACATCCATAGTCCAGTATGCACCAGGTTCCCCCACTCAGGTGTCTGAAGAGCTTTTGGTAGGTAAATTTCACAATAGGAACTTGCCACGAGCAAATTAATTTGTAATTCGACAAACCGATCAATATTACCATTAAGATGTAATTTCACTAATCTCTTTATTTCTTTACCATTTAAAATGATACTGTTTTAGGCTGTGGATGACCAAAACATTCCAGGAATGGACTGGGTGGACAGACTGGCTATTTGGTAGAGCTGAGGATAAGCACAGGGTTAACACTGAGCAGACAGCAGGTATGCAAACATTTTGAATGTTTGTTAACATGGAAAAGACCACACATAACACAATGTGACTGTAAAAACAGTGTAACTGAACTATCTATGCGAAATTACCAGTTTCCTTTTAACTCACCTATGCCTCTATACTTCTATCCTTCTTCAGGTTGATGACATTGTGTGCTTGTGGCAGAGCCTGCTTGAATATGATAAGCAGCGAGTGAAGTTTGCTGCCAGACACCAGGACAGGCTGACAACAGGGAGGTTCAGGTCTTTAAAAAAAGAAGGCTGTTTTAACCCCTGGAGTGGACAGCTTGAAACGGAGTGTTTTGGCATCTACAGCTTCACCTGCCCAATGGCCAGACTGCTGTCGTCTCGTGGAGGCCATTTTCATTAGGCTCTGTTGCATCCATCGAAGTCCGAGGAAGAAAGAGAAGGTGACGCTGAGTCGCTGGTCTCTCGTTTTACAAGATTACCGAAAGAACCGGCAGATGATCCTGTCTAATGGTCAGCACTGCTGCTGTTGTAGGCCTATCAGTCAGTGGTTAGATCAGTGTAGCAGTCAATAAACGGGACAAGGGAGGTCACGTACGGGACAAATCAATTAGGCCCAATATACGGGACGTCCCGGCTAATACCGGACAGTTGGCAACCCCACTCACCGGCCACTTTATTAAGCACACCTTCCTATTACCCAGTTGGATCCCTTTTGCCTTCAGAGCTGCCTTAGTTCATTCAACAAGGTGCTGAAAATATTCCTCAGATATTTTGGTCCATATTGACATTATGGCAACATGCAGTTGTCGCAGATTTATTGGCTGCACATTCATCATGAGAATCTCCCGTTCCAACACATCCCAAAAGATCCCTTATTGGTTTGAGATCTGGTGACTGTGGAAGCCATTTGAGCACAGTGAACAAATTTTCACGTTCAAGAAACCAGTTTGAAATTATTTGAGCTTTAGGACATGATGCGTTATCCTGTTAGAAGTAGCCATAGTAGAAGATGGTACACTGTGGTCATAAAGACATCGAGATGGTCAGCAACAATACTCCGGTAGGCTGTGGCGATTGAAAGATGCTTTTTAGTAATAAGGTGCCCAAAGAATGCCAAGAAAATATCCCCCATACCATCACCAATACCCTTTACCATTGCAACATGACATCATGACTTTGCGTAAACATACACGCCACTTTCAAGTCAAGTGGCGTGTTATCTATACGCATTTTGAGCTATCCGCGTGTATGTCCACGCCGAAATCTTTTGCGTGTATGTCTACGCCATTAAATGTCCGAGTGATTCCGCGTGTATGTGTACACCGTTAAATGTCCGAGCGAAACGAAGCAAAATGTAGATCTACATTCTGTGGAGCGATATTTCTTTTCCTAGGATGGTAGGAGAAGACTCAAAAATGGTATTAACCCCAGTGACGGGTAGGTTTAGGGACGGGGTTGGGGTAGGTCATATATTTATATATACATAATACAATAATATAACGTTAAGTCAAAGGCGTTGATAAACACGCTGAAAAGCGATTATGCGTGTTGATAGCACGCCAAAAATGGAAATACGAATTGGCGTGTCATACATACGCCATTTCATGAGATCAGTCTGACCATTGATACAAAATGGATCCTTGCTTTCATATTGTTAAATGCCAAATTCTGACCCTTTCATCGGAATGTCTCTGTAGAAATGAGACTTGTTAGACCAGAAAACATTTTTCCAATCTTCTATTGTCCAATTTTGGTGAGTCCATGCAAATTGTAGCCTAAGATTGTTGTTCTTAGTTTATAGGCGAGGCAATCTGTGTGATATTTTGCTGCCGTTACGAAGATACACTAACTGAATATTTTCTCTTTTCTGAGCACTCTCTGTAAATCCTAGAGATAGTTGTACATGAAAGTAGATCAGCAGTTTCTTAAATACTCAGACCAGCCAGTCTAGGCCAACAACCATACCACATCTAAAGTCACTTAAATCAGCTTTCTTCCTCATTCTGTTACTCAGTTTGAACTTCATCTTGACTATGTATACATGCTTAAATGCATTGAGTTGCTGCCATGTGATTGTTTAAATATTTGTGTTCACAAATAGTAACAGGTGAACCTAATAAAGTGGCCAGTGAGTGTGTAAAGGTAATGTGAACAGTCTCATGACAAATAAACATTGAGAAAAAAAAACTGATTTGGCCCACATTCATCTACGGCTTGAACGTAGCCTTAATTTCACACAGATACGAATTTTCTGGTGCCATTTTAAATTGCTAAACCATTTGAAACTCTTTCCACACAAAGAACACGAATATTGTCTCAAATCTGTGTGACTTTTCAGGTGTATCTGTAAGTGTAATGGCAAGAGACATTTTTTATTACACTGATCACAATCCAATTTCTTTCCTCCAGAGGGAATTTGCAAATGACGTTTCATGTCTCTTAGATTTGTGAAACTTTTCTCACGCTGAAGACATGTGAAAGGCCTCTTTCCATTGTGAAGTCTCATGTGAGTTTTAAGCTTTCCTTTATTTGTAAAACTCTTTCCACAGTGATCGCATACGAAAGGCTTTTCTCCAGAGTGAGTTGTTGCATGATTCTTAAGGCAATTCATGTCCTTGAAACTACTTCCGCACTGATATTTAAAACAGTTCTCTCTTGAGTGAATCCTCATGTGCTTATTAAGGTTTTGTCTTCCTACAAAACTTTTCCCACACTGAACACATGTGAATGGCTTTTCTCCAGTGTGAACTCTCATATGGTCCACAAGGGTCACTTTACGTGCAAAACTCTTTCCACACCAACAGCATTTGAACGGCTTTTCTCCAGTGTGAATTTGCATGTGGTACCTAAGGCCTAGTTCCCGTGTGAAGCTCTTCCCACAGAGTTTGCAGGCGTAAGGCTTCTCTCCGGTGTGAATTCTCATGTGCTTTTTAAGGTTTCCTTTTTGAGTGAAACTCCTTCCACACTGTTGGCAGGTGAATGAGATCTCTCTAGTGTGGATTCTCATGTGAACTTTAAGGTTTCCCTTTTCACTGAAACTCTTTCCACACTGTTGGCAGTTGAAAAGGTTCTCTCCAGTGTGAATTCTCAAGTGGTTTGTAAAGTTTCCTTTTTGAGTGAAACTCCTTCCACATTGTTGGCAGGTGTAAGGCTTCTCTCCAGTGTGAATTCTCATGTGAACATTAAGGTTTCCTTTTTCATTGAAACTCTTTTTACAATGTTTGCAGGTGAAAGGTTTCTCTCCAGTGTGAATTCTCATGTGGACTCTAAGGTTTGCACGTTGATCAAAACTCTTTCCGCACTGTTGGCAGGTGAAATTCTTTTTAATTCCAGTCTTTTTAGCTCTTTTCCGTGAGTTTTTTTCAATCTGTGTAGATTTTTTTCCAGTCATGAAATCATGATCTTTCTCTTCCAATTCCTTGGAACTCTCCTCTTTCAGCGCCATCAGGTCTAAGATGAAAAAAGACAAATACAAGTTGACACCAATTTAATGGCTCAAAACAAAAGACATCAAAATATTTAGGATCAAAACCAACAACATTTAGGCTATATACCCAATCTCATCCAGGGTTTTCGTTGGTCAAAACGGTCTTCGGTGAGGGAGGAAAAACACGGTCATCACACACACAGTACAAAGTACCCTACCCATGTACACTGTAAGCCCAGTACTAACAAGAAATCCTAAATAAATGCATAGTAACAGTTTGTAAGATTACCTCATCCTATTTATACACAAAGTATTTATTGTCAGTACAGATCATAAAACAAAGTAATTAGAACTATTTTGTATTTTGAAAATATGTATATTTATATGTAAAAAGTCAGTGAGTGAATGATTTGTAAGCAGTGTTGTGCAAGTTACTTCCGAACTGTAATTAATTATAGATTACTTGTTACTGTTATTTTCGGGTTTCAGCCCAGAATTTTCATTTCGATGCATCCTTATTAGAAAAAGCTGCGAAGTTCAGCTTATGTTCTTAAATGATGATTGACAAGACTAAATGATTAGACTCCTCCGAAACCTATATCTGGAACTTCATTAACCCCTTATATATATATATATATATATATATATATATATATATATATATATATATTCAAAACAATAATATCTTAGTAAAAGCT